AAGGCATTGATATCCTTTGTGCTGAGGGTTGAAGCCAAGATAAGTGCAAGACTGTGATCTAAAAGCCAATTTATGATTTTGAAACGGTCTCAAGTGTGGGAAACATTGGCAGCCAAAGACTCTTAATGCGCTGTAGTCTAGCTTTCTTTTAAGTAGTTTTTCGAATGGAGTCATGCCTCCAAGCACCGTGGTTGGTAGCATATTAATCATATGCACAAGAGTCATTACAACATATGACCAGAAACGAATGGGCAACGATGACTAAGCCAGTAACACAAGGACGAGTTCCACTATGTGACGGTGTCTACGCTCCACAACACCATTTTTTTATGATGTATATGGGAAGGATAGCCGATGCACTATACCTGATTATGCTAGAACCATCGAGAGGGGTCTATATTCACCACCCCAATTAGATTGGACTGCTTTAATCATCTGTCCAAACTAATTGTGCACAAGTTTATGAAACAGTTGAAACGCAGTGCATGCTTGTGACTTACTTTTGAGTAGGTAGATCCAAGTGTACGGTGTGCATGCATCAACGAATGAAATGTAATACTGAAAGCCATTTGATGCAACATGTGGAGGTCCCCACAAATCAGAGAAAACAAGTTCAAAGGGAGTATTGTATTGCGTATTCGAAGGTGTAAACGGTAGTTTATGACTTTTTCCTATAAAGCAAGCTACACATGTTTTATTAACATTTGAATCAATCTTTACATCAATATCTTTGGCTATTTTATTCATTGCATAGAAAGTTGGGTGTCCTAAGCGATGGTGCCAAAGTTCAGAATGTGACAAAACCAGCTGATACAAGGTGAGCTGCAACAGCATCGCGAACTCCTACACGCTTGCAGTCATGTGTAAAGGTATGCAGTCCCCCTTTCTCATCACCTTACAAGAGTATTTCTTTCAAAAACTCATCTCGAACATAGCACTTCTCAGCATGAAACTCCAAATACACATCATTTTCCCTAGCAAGCTTAGAGACCGAAAGTAAGTTTTTGGTTATCCGAGGTACATGCAATAACTCATTAATCAACAAAGCTCTTGAAGTAGAGTTAACAACCGAACTACCAATGTTTCTTATGTTAAGAGGAACTCCATTCCCCACAGTGAGCTTACCTGAGCCTCAAAACTCAACTAGATTGGAGACATTTGCTGTATCGGGTGTCATGTGGTGCGTTGCTCCTGAGTCAACCACCTAGTGATCAACAGATTTAGATGTAATATTATCTTGTGACTGGTTTGTTCCTTGATAACGTGCTTGAAAATAATCACAACTCATATTAGGAGTTTCAGTAGCTGCATAACGAGCATTAGCAACCTGTCCTTTGTGAGGTTGTGAGTCAGAGGTGACACACACAAAGTCCTCATCAAAGCGATGCCAACAGCGATCAACTAGGTGGCCAAGTTTCCCACATAACTGGCACTGGATCTTGGCTCTTACTCGACCACTACTGCCTGAGTTGGTACCAGAATTAGATCAAGAATTATTGGACTCACAGCGATCAATTTAAATAGAATTGTGATCATCACGTTGAATGGTTATATTAGCACTCATGGGAAGCGAATCTGGCTTCTCATCGAAAGCAGCCAGCTGGGCTTCATCATCTAGCAGGACTGTGTACAGACTGTCCAAAGAGAGTGTCTTTTTCATTGCAGTGATAACCGCCATAAAGGGCCCTGGGCAAACCTTTCAATACACTAGCAATATGGCCAACATGAGAGTCTGCACAGCCACACGAGGAAAGTGCATCACACACCTCTTTTACTTTGGTAAGGTAAACACGCATACTGTCATTATCTTTCTTGAGCGATTGTAGTTTGCAATGCAAACTCATTGCAGCTGTCGTGGATCTGCTAGCAAATAGCTATTGCATCGTAGTCCACACTATAGTAGCTGACTCAGCTCCAATAAACTGAGGATGGAGATGAGAGTTGATAGTGGACAACAGCCAGGATGCAAGCGCACTGTCTTGCACCACAAAGTCTTCAAATGCCTCATTAACACTCACCTCACCATTGGCACCAATGATCGTTTCCGGTGGAGGCTTCAAGGCACTGGTCAAGATTCGTTCAAGACGATGGCTATGAACAGTCAAGAGGACTTATTGCTTCCATAGTAGAAATTTCGTTTCATCGAGAACCACATTGACCTTCTTATGCGAGAAGCTCTTGGTTGATACCATAACCAGTAGAGGTCACATAGTAGTAGATATTAGACTAGAGGACCCAAGAACGTTGGCGAAAGATACCATATTAGAAAGGGAATAAGTAAATCTATTAGCACAAGAATCACACTTTCTTCATTCAACATAGCTTGCTTATATACAGTGCTGCACCAAGCTATGATTTACATTCATATTAGGAGTTAAGATTTTACCTACTTTATTCTATGTTAATTATTATTACATGAATTGTCTAAATCAGATTAAAATTCATTAATCGATCAAATGACAAAAAATATTTATATTATCTCATTAGTTTTTTTAATTAATCTAAGGTTAATACAACATAGTATATGTGCAAATATATTCATTTTATCTCACTTTATATATATTAAAACCTTAACATTTATCTTAAGACTATAATATTTCTTTATTTAATTAAAAATTATATAAATCATACTCGTAAATATTGAATAATAGTGGATAAGAAGTAGTAATAAATAAAAACTTAACCCCCCTGCATTATAACCTTTCTCGTATATTTATTATGTTGGAGTGGTTTTTGTATTGTTTTAGTATATCATTTTCAAAGTCGTGTGATGATTTGCTTCGGGATGAGTGGATCACGTTCGATGATTACTGTTGAGCATCATTAATGTCGAATCATGAGCACTATTAATTTAATTTATAAAAATTTAAAATTTTAAAATAATTAACGTATAATTATAAATTAATTAAAATTTTATAAGTAAATTGTTTAAAATAAAATATTAATTACATTATTTTTATAATAATTAACGTATAATTAAAAATTAATTAAAGATTTAAAAGTAAATTGTTTAAAATAAAATATTAATTGCATTATTTTTATAATCTTTTTCCGGGTAAATTATACCAGTAACCACCCAACTATAGCCCATTTTCATTTTAACCATCATTTTTAAATTTTTATCAGTCAGGTCACCCAACTATTTAAGCAATCAGACCACTTGTCGTTAACATTTAACATAAGCGTTGACATGAACATTAATAAAATTGATATAATTACAAATTTGGTCACTTTTATTTATATATTCTATCAATTTGGTCCTAATTTTAATAAATTAAAATAAATTTAATCTTCGAATCAGATCATGTCATGTGTCACTAATGTCAAATATCATGACATGTGTCCCCACCCAATTGAAGGATTTAATTTATTTTAATTAAATATTATTCTATTTTTGTGTTTTCTTATCCATTTCAAAATTCTCACCCTACTGAGTTTAATTCAATGAAACAATCCAAAGCAATTAAAGTGTATTTCTCATTCACTAATATGTCTATTTCAATTTTATAATTATTATTTTTCATGATTTTCATTTTATTCATGTTTTTTAATTATTTTTTTGTAGACTTGTACCTTGAAAGTGAATATAAATTGTTGCAATGATTGTCGAACGAAAGCAAAGGAAAAACTACAAAAAGTCAGTGATAATTCTATGATTCGAATTACATTTGGAGTTAAAATAATAATATAATTACTCCTTTGGAATTATAGTCGACAGACTCCACTCCTGATTGTAAAAAGTTAAACAAACTTCAGTAATTATATTTTTATTATTTTAACTCCAAATTTAATTCAAATCATAAAATTACCTCTGATTTTTTGCAGTTTGTCCTTTGTTAATCTTATTCTAAGATTATATCAATTTTATTAACTATCACATCAGTACTTCTATTAAATGTTAACGGAAAGTGACTTCATCGAATGTAATTAATTAGTTGGGTGACCTGATTGACAAAAATTCAAAAATGGTGATCAAAATGAAAATGAGCTATAGTTAGGTGATCATTGCTATTGTTTACCCAAAAAAATTATGAAAAATAATATAATTAATATTTTATTTTATATGATTTATCTTCAATTTGTTTTATTAGTTTATAATTATAGGTTGAGTTCTTTAGAATACTTATTTTTTATAAACTAAATCAATAATGTTCATCCTTAATGATATTTAACGTTACTCAAAATTTTCCTTTGCTTCATAGGTCAACAGTGTTCTATACTCTAAAAATGGGACAATAAACGTAGACATCTTGGATTTCCCTTATGCTCTCTGTGTTTTACAAACAAACAGAATCCATATACATACATATATATATATATATATATATATATATATATACACACGCACAAACAATTATTTCTTGCCGACATCTACTAAAATATATTATTTTACAATTCTGTTTTTCAGGCCAACAGGAAATAATGGTGTTAATTGGGCCTGAACCAGGCTGAATTGCACGTAGAGGCTGTTTTATTAACTCTACCAAAGCTCATACAAACGTAAAATATTTTAAAAAGACATCATAAATGTATAACTAATATAGATCTAAACAAACAAAACCTACGATAAACTGTTCATAAAACATTATTATAATTTTTATTTAAATTAAACTATAAATTAACTTAATTATTTTCACGACAAATTTGCTTTTTGAATTATTTTTAAAATCGTTTATAAACTCATATATATATATAATTAGTTTTTTATTTTAAATAAAATTTAAACTAAATAAAAATGCATAAAAATGAAATTTAAAATTCAAACTATAAAATTCAAAGAAGATAAAAACTGATATAATTTCACTATCACTATCTTTAAAGGTGCAAGTAGAAAAATAAAATAAATATTGATTACTAAATATTAAACAAACATTAAATGAACATACTCGTAGATGCTAAATAAATATATTTATAAATATTAGACATGTATATAAATGTTAAACAAATAAATACAAACACCTTCAAAAATAAATATATAAATATGAACACAATATTAAAATTTCTATTAGCCTAAAGTATAGCTAAGCTACCCCATCAAGTGAAAGAGTGGCATTGGTCCTCCAGCCCCATTGCGGCTTCAAGGCTCCGAGTACCTTCGACCCAATCCTACGGCAGATTTCGGGAAAATGCCGGTCATTCTACAGATTATGTCTTCAAACGATGGTCGGTTTTCTGGATTACTGCTTGCCGTGGAACATAAGAAATGGTTAGTTTTTTTTTCCTTCATTCATTTGCTTCTAAGTTTCTATGTTTGCAAAAAAGTGATCGGAAATAGAGCAAGATTGACATGTACCTTTGCCAACAGTCACGGATAATCGATTCTATATGCGGATCAAGGCCTTCGGGTAGCTCCAATCGCCTATCCATGAAGCCTACAACTCCAACTACCTACATTATGGTTTTGACATATAGATTAAGATATCAGAGATTTATGTGGTTTTGTAAGAAAAAAAGAAACAGGTTGAAGACCTGTAAACAGTTGAGATTGTTCCATGGAATGGAGACAGTCATCAACTCCCACAAGATTACTCCAAAACTGAATACATCAGACCTGTTCAGATTGATGTCAGGAATCAGTTGAGAACAAAGAACAACTTGAATCTTAATGTCTTTTAAGAGGAAAATATCAATCAGTTTTCGAGAAATTACTTCTCATTTGATGGTTCATTCCTCAGGACTTCTGGAGCCATCCATTGAGGCTGCAATTACAAAAAGTAGTGAATGGAGTTCTACGATAAGTAGTTATTATACAAAACTCTGAAACACAAATACATGATCTATTAAAGAAGAAACCGAAAAGAATTAGAAGTGGTCATTACTGTTCCTCTTCCGGTCTTTGTGGTTAAGAAAGTTCCATTTTTCCATCTCGAGAGGCCAAAGTCTCCAACCTAAGAAAAAATTGAGCAGTAAGCAATCTGAAAATGCTCAAACAAGCCTGTACGTTTTGAAGATATCGACCAGCACATGGTACCTTTACATTCCAATTCCTATCAACAAGGAGATTGGAAGACTTCAGGTCTCTATGCACAATTGGAGGATTCCTATGATGCAAGTAGTTCATGCCTCTAGCCTGCAGAAATAAAAGGGAAGTGTGAGGTTTTATTTGACGGCTAACTAGCAGAAAAGATAGACCGAAAACTCACAACATCAAGGGCCATCCTCATGCGCCTTTTAACATCCAATGCCTGATTAGTCTTGTGAAGTGCTTTGAAAAGGCTTCCCCTGATTATCAAACAATGATAGTTGAGTGCTACATATCATCAAGAAAGGACCAGCATGCATAGAACTTCTATGGAAGTTGATCTTCAAAATCTGAACGGGTATGGAGAAACGGGAATGTGTATTTTGCAACTTATGCCATGCACGACATCCCATGGACAAGAAATGGTGGGAAAAGAATAAACTAGGACACTAAAACACCCTCTATAGATGGGATCATTAACAGAGGATCGTTGATTGAGTACCCTTAGACAAAATAACAACTTTCATTACCTAGGCAAGAACTCAGTGACGATTGCAAGTCGATCTTGTGAGTACACTGCCCCCATGAACAGCAGAACATTAGGATGTCTTATTTTTCTCATTATATCAATCTGAAGAGCAAGAAAAGAACTGTCAAGGATCAGATAATTTCATTCATGACATTGCTTCATCAGAAAACCGAAGGGAATTCAGAGAGTACCTCTTTTTTGTAGTCTGATAATGTTGATTCTTCGTATTCACCTGAAAAATAGACCTTAACTGCAACATCCTTCTTGCAGAAAATGATATTTGTCCAGGTTAGTAAATATTTTTACACGAGTATTTGATATAGGAAATGGAAAAACAAAGGAATGAAAAGAACTTACTGATCCATTCCAAATTCCGCGATGAACAACTGCATACGAACCTGAAGGGGAAAGCAAACAAATTGATTGGGTCTATTAGATTAAAGTATAACATGTCAGCTATCATTTAACGTATATTAAACAAGGTAACAACAGTGTGCAGCCAATAAAGAACAATGAAGTATACGTACTGACCAACTTTCTTGGAAAAATCATTTTAAACTGAAGCTGTAACAAAGTAATATTAAACTACCTTTAAAAGGACTTAGTTTCGAGTAATTGTTTCCCGGGCATGTATTATCACCAAAGTTTTTTGAAACATGAACTGGAGGAAGTCTATAAAACAGTGCAAGAATCCAATTCCTACCAATCAAACTCTGTTTTTCAAGCACAACAGTAGGCAGGCATCTATGCATGTCAAAACTCAAAACTCAATTGTTTACCTTGCCCAATCTCCTCCCCTAAATGTAGGTCTTCCCAGTGAATCTCACAATCAACCATAGAGTTTGGCTCACTATCCCCTTTGCTTGATTGACTTTCTTGGCTTCCTATGCTCTCCCCTACACTTGATAAGCTTTTACCATCTGTCTGCTTTTGTAATTCATCTTCCACCCATGATGCATCCATATTTAGAAACTCCGGCTCCGATCCATTTTCATTTACTCGGCTCGCTAATCCTGCGGTAGATTCTCCCATACAACTTACTGAAAACTTCCCATTGCGCTCTCTTGAAGAATCTCCAAGCGGCGTTGGACTTATGCGCTTTTCAACACTAAAGTGATTCTGAATTGATGGCTTCAAACCTCTAGAAACATTATGTTCATCTGCCACATCATTTGTTGCCAGTCTACTAGTTGTATCCTTTCTCTGAGGACATTCATCATCATCGCTGCTGTGGTAGCTGGGTCCCCTGATCTGCAGTTTTGCCAAGACTTTTGCAGCCTACAATGATTTCACCACAAATTTAACCTACGTGTATGAAGAAGATGTAAACAGAGGTAGAATTGCTAACTCAGTGAAGTCATCAGTAGGATGTTAAGATCTACACTACAGGTTTTAATAGAGTCCTCAAGTTCTCATCAATTAGTTATATGCAACGCAATTTAGTAACTACAAACTACAAGATCCTAAAATTACCATTCAAATATTTGGTTGCAATAGCTTATAACAAACCAAGCTGAAAGAATGACTATACAATTTTTGAAGGTTGAGCAAGATCGAATGCATTGTCATCCTTTTTAGAGCTTATTCTTTCAGCTGTGTTCCTCCACTCATGGAAATTCGAGTTAAATTGACCTTCCTTGAATAATACAGAAGAGGAAGGAAAAAAGAACCAGTTAGATTCTGATTTAAATATATACAGAACCAGAAGACGAGCAATCTCAGAATGAAGTCTTACAGCTGTATCACGAGCCTCTAACTTGTCTTCTATGCTTGTTGCACCATCCTCTTGTTCCCTTGACTTATTACATGAATTGCTTAAACCATCTTGTTTCTTGAGTAGAAATCTTGAAGCCTGGGTGTTTTGACAATACACAATGTCAAGTGTTTTAGAAACTGAAAATAGAACCAGAAATGGAAAGAAGCTAAACAATGGCAAAACTGTAGTAATGCTAAACATAAGCACCAGATTAGAAACAGACGATGCAATCTGTGGCTGTGGTGGATGCCACTGTATGTTTTTCGACTTCAGCCTCCTCGATCTATTATGATCCTGATAAGTTCCCGAATTCTCTTTATTAATACCATTAAAAATGGATGCATCACTTGAAACTGTCACCACACCAGTAAGACGACCACCTTCGTACAAGGGACTTTTGGTCACCAAAGCCATAAAAATTTCACCTGACCTCCTCTTGAAAGGGAATTGACCTGACCATGATTGCCCAGAAATCAACTTCTCCATAATATTTTTAAGGGGCGCATGATATTCTTCCGCTATTAGAAGTGCCGTATCTCTTAGTCCCAAGACTTCATTGGACCTCCATCCAAAAAGATTTTCAGATGAGCGATTCCTGTGGTAAGAGAACCCTTTTCTTTATCAGCTGCACAACTTGAAAGTGATGTGAGATTTAATGAACACGTGATCAAAGGATTCAGTAAAAAGAAGAAGCATTCTTCAATCTTAAAGGCAGACCATTTGAGTAATGCTAATATAAGAAATATTGAAAGAGTTCTAAGATGCATTTTCTCAGAAACAAAGCATGCATAAATGATCTCAAACGAGTTGAAGAAGCTTTCTTCAATCTTAATGGCAGACCATTTGAGTAATGCTAATATAAGAAATATTGAAAGAGTTCTAAGATGCATTTTCTCAGAAACAAAGCATGCATAAATGATCTCAAACGAGTTGAAGAGCTGGCTCGTTATTATAATCTATTTTAATCAAGTGAACAGTAATGAGTATGCTGGACTTGTTTTTGTAGCCTCCATACAATATAACTTGAGAGACAAGCAACAAATATAAGTATCAAGTTTCCACAGTCAAAGCTGAAATATTTTACCATAGTCCTCACTACATATTTATTAATTGAGACTCTTCTCAGCGTTCCCCAGGAATAAAACTGTCAAATGAGTTTTCAGTTGAACACACGTATCTATCAAAATAGAGAAGGATACAAACGAACTGCAGTAAACACATGTTATCAGTGTATCACATTCTTCGCAGGTAGCTAACTTGGGGGGAGTAGTTCTGAACTAAGTCCTTCGAGAACCGATAACTAATTATCAGTTATGACATTCTTGCAAATATATATATATAACAGTGTATGACAAAAGGCAATCCCCTTCTCCATCACCATCATTACCTAATTTTCAAGTTACTAAATATAGGTAGATGCATCTGCAAACACGAAATGCAGGAATTGATGTAGGTGAAACCATGTTTCATATGAAAGACGCACATTAACCAACCACAGGAAGCATATGTAGACTATAATGTTTCTTGTTCAAAAGTGTGCAACTCTTCGGACTACTAATTATGGAAATTCTCAAGAAAACTTGATGACAAGATATTTATGTGGTTCTGATAGTTTGGGAAAATTTAGAAAATAAATCTTTAAAATAACTCATGCCAATAAAAATTTCCTGCCATATGAAAAAAAGAAGAGCCATTCGTTTTGAAGATTGACTCACTCTAAAAGGTTAAAAGAAAACAAAACAAAAAAGGAGAGTTCAGAATTGTATGTGAACTTTTATCAAACATCTTAACGACACTACAACAAACGAATACAAAAGAAGTGAAATCTAATGCTTGGTTCTTCTTTACATTAACAATCTCATAGACTTGTAAATTTCATTAAAAGTCAACATTACTGCTAATCCATCCATTTCAAGCATGATCTATGCTTAGTAACTTACCCAACCAAAGTTCAAAATTTCAATTAAAAATACTAGCCTCTGCCACTTTAAAGCCAAGATACACAATAAAAAGAGCTTTTTAAAATCTATACCAACTATCTGCATACAAGCAACTGTTTCATCATTACAGCAACTAAAAAAACTCAGAAACGATATTCAATCTTTTCAAAAGAATCCGCATATGAACTACTAAAAGGATCGATAAAAAAGGGGAAAAAGAGAGAGAAAGAGATACCAAAAGGTAATCCTCCCCGAAGCAGCTGAAGAGACATGAATAGCATGTCCAACGGATTCCAACACGTTCCTAAAAGGGCTTCCGGTGGAGAAGTATCCGGGAAACGTGGAAGCAACAGAATATGAAGTGGAATAGCCGGAATCTGACGCCAGCATGACCTTTTCATCGCTTCTTTTTTCTTGCTGCGCAAGCTCATCAAACTCTTCCCTCAGCTTAGCGTGACTCGCTTCCAGACTCAAGCACCGATCCACTAACGATCGGTAGAGACTCGCTACTGAGTCATCCCCAGCCATTTAATCAGTCACCGGTGACTCGTCGGAGATGGGAGTAACAAAGTATTTGGTTTTAGATTTTTTATAATTATAGCATAGTTTATTTAATACCCGGATGGTCGCTTATCGTATTTGCTTTTTCCAGTAATAAAATATATGCTTTAAAAAATAATATATATTTTGTAGTGTAAGAATCGTGGGGTCAAAGGTTGCCTGCCACGTGTATTGGCCGGCCAGGTGAAGCCATCAGGTGCGGACAGGTGCAACCTTGGGAAACTCAGATGGCGAATGGGGATGACGATTTCATATTTTTAGAAACTCTGTTTGCCATTGGTTAAAGAAGCGGGCAGCAATATCGATGCCTTTATGACGATAATCGCCTCGGGTTTGACCAAAATTACATGCATACCCTGCCGCCATTAGTTAAGTTTTGGTTTAATATCAAAATAAATGTCCGACTATACCCTTTTTTTCTGAATATGTGTCTAAAGTATTTTTTGACTTATTCTGGTGCATAACGTTACAAAAGTTACACTTTAGATGTTTAGACCATCAACAATGTTAATTTTTCTATTAAGTGACACGTACCACAATCTGATAATTTTAAAAATTGTATTTAAAATTAAAAAAATTAAAATTATATATTTTTTAAAAGAAAACACAAAAAATAAATAAATCCAAAACTTTAAAAACCTTCATTTCAAACCCTAAACCCACATCGACCATTGCCTTTTACCGTTGATAAAGCTCCACATGACTTCCCCTCCCTCCGGCGACCAAAACCCTTATAAAATCATAGCGATTGACGACTGATCATTGATGAATCGATGTTTTCCACACGCGAACCCTAGGATAAAAATCGTGATCCCACGTGATTCCAACAGTCAATCAACGACAACTACAACGGCATATGATTAGGAGGTTGACAGGGACTACATCAGCGACAATGGTCGCGATTGACAATGGCGAGGATAACAGGTTGAGGTTAATATTTGAAGATTTTTGGGTTTTTATAACTTAAAAGAAATTACAGTTTTTTTTAAAAAATATAATAATATTTTTAAGAACATAAATTTCAAAATAATCAGATTATAAAACGTGTCACTTAACGGGAAAAGTAACGTCGTTGAGGGTTCGAGCACCTAAAATAATAACGTTTGTAACGTTTGGTATCTGAATGAGTTAAAAAATATTTTAGGCACCTATTTGAAAAAAATAATATAATTTAGACACTTATTTTGATGTTAACCCTTAAGTTTTAAAGGAACCAAGTTGGCGCGTGGAGTGGGGGATTAGGTTTGGTTGCTTGTACTCAGACCATTTTTCTATTAATTTCTGACGTGGAATTTGTCCATTATATTGAGAGAAACGTCATGTACGATCAGCACTAAATTAGATTCGTGTTCCTCCTTCAAGCCAAACTCAGTCGAAGTCGATCTATTGTGCTCAGATTTATGATTTATTTATTTATTAGATTTTATTTTCGGTTTTAAGGTTTGTTCTTTATTAATTTGAGTTGATAGGCCTTTCAACGAATTTTTTTTACAAATGTTTATTTTAAGGTTAATTTAATTTTATTTATAAAAATATAGTAAGAAGTTATTTTAAAAAAAGAATTTTAAAATAATTAAACTAATTTTTTTATAAATTTTAAAACTAATCATATTTAAAGGAAAGGGGAATAAGATTTTAGGAGATTAAATGTGAGTGCTCCTAACCAGTCTAAAATCCATAAGAGAGTACGATGGAAAAAAGATAAGTAATTTAATCAATTAACCAAATATGTTTGCTCAATGTGAATTAAGATATTAATTGTTAGTAATGATCTTAAAAATATATTTGAAAGCATAAATGATTATTTACAATATATATATTTAAATATTATTTAAAATATTTAGTATTATAATATATAATAAAAATATAAAAAATATTTAAGAATTTTATTATAGTAATTATACATGTCTTATGAAAATATATAAAGTTTAAAATGATTTTTATCTAAATTAACATGATGAGATATAAAATATTTAAACTCATAATTAATCTATCAATCTTAAAATCATATCTTGATAAAAAAAATAAGTTTTTAAATTATAAAATAACATATCATATGAAAAAATGGATGTTAATTTTGACTTTAAAAGCAATTTTCAAACAAAAAAAGATAAAATTGTTTAACTTTTATGTTTGGATTGAAAAGAAAAGAAATAATATTTGTTCAGTATTACTTACGACTTCAAAAGTATCTTTACCCCGAAAACACTTTGCAAATGTTAGATGAGACCTAAATCATGTTGACATAAGTTTTCGTATATGGAAACAATGATGTTCAGAAAAATCCATATTAACAATTTATTAAAGGATAAAATATATTTTAAATCACTCAATTATTAAGCAGTTTATAAAAGTGATTACTTAATTTTAAAAAGTTATAATAAACATACTCAATTACACTTATGTTATAATCAAGTAGTTCCGTTAAAAATAAAACAAACGTTTGACGATGGCTCATATTATATCAATATTATATATATATATATATATATATATTCTATCAATTTAGTCTTAATTTAAAATAATTTAATAACTATAAACCCTCATATTAAAAAATATATCATTTTAATCTTATTCTTCTCTTAAATTGATTGTTCCTCTGTGTTCATCAATTTAACTCTAATAGATATTTGGTTTGTTGTTTCTTCTTTGCTCAAACCTACTTTAATATTTCTTTACTAAAAATAAATAATTAACATATTTTATATAAATTAAAAATAAATACATTGAAACTATAGGATGCAAAGTATTGTGAGAGAGACATAGTAATAGTAGGGATGGCAAAAAAACCGAACCTGTCGGTGAAAACCAAAAATTGAATTAAACGGGTCGGGTTCGGGGATGATAAATTGGGATGGGGATGGGGAAAACCAAATTTTTTAAATGGGGACGGGGACGTGTTTGGTAATCCCCGCCCCGATTACTCGAATACCCGGCCTGATAAATATTAAAAATAATTATATATATATATATATATATATATTAATAAATTTAATTTAAACTAAAATATATATATATAAAGGAGATTAGGATTTAGGAGAACACATCTTGACCTACTCGTCACTTTCCCTGATGCTGCTCTCAAGTCTTGCTTCGCCGATCTTCACCTTCCCTGCTCTACTGCTGGTGACTTCACTTCCTCGGCCGATCTTCCTTTCCCTTGCCACTTCGCCGGCCGATCTTCCCCTTCCCTAGTGACTTCTACGACCGATTTTCCCCTTTCGAGTTTCGGCCTTCCCTCGTTACTTCCCATCCGATTGTATTTGAGGTTAGTCTTGCATCTTTATGTTTACTAGCATGTGATGGTAGTAGCTTCTGTAAACCAATTTTAATGGTCTGTAATCAATTTTACGGTTGCAATCTTGTTCTTTTACTCATGGTAGTAGCTTTTGTAATCAGTAGTAGCTTTTGTAATCAATTTTAATGGTCTTGCATCTTTATGTTTACTAGCATCTTCTTCCTGTGTATATAAAATTGTTGGGCAGCAATATGGATTTTGAGAAAATCTATCCGTTTTTTTAAATTCCTCAGTATTGTTTTTGTTTGTCAGTTAATTAGGTAGTTGGTAATTTTAGTTGCTTTTATATTTCTACTTCTGGATGGGATGTACCTGAATGATAAATGTGAAATTAGTGTTTCAAGTTTGATAAATGGTCTTCAATCTTGTTTGCAAACTGATGTATTTTAGGAAAAATAGTTACTAATTAAATGGTCTTCAATCTTGTTTCAAGTTTGATAAATGTGAAATTATTGTTTGAAAATGTGACTTGGTTAATATCTGGAATTATGGATATGCTATTATTGTTACTATCAAGTATCAAGTTATTATTCTTAGAATCGAGGTGATTTTACAGCAAGTGCAAGTCCATTCTTAAGTCCATTTTTGTATGATAGTTGAGAACATTAATTATCTAATTATTACCACTTCAAACCATAGAAATCACCTGCTAAATGCTAATATCATTTCTGATCATTAATAGCTACTTTTCTTAATGAAGGTTATTTCATAGCAATAATGGAAGGTCAACGATCCATAGATGATAATTCTAATGCACGGGCACAAACACAATCACAAGCTGAAAGCAATAACATGACTCAATCATCTCCGATGCCAAATAACCAAGGCCCATCCATTTCACCCATAGAAGAAGAACAAATACAAATCGATGATAGCAATGCTGGTACAAATAGTAGAAAGCGAAAACTTACTTCAGTTCTATGGAATCACTTTGAGAAGGTGAATGTTAACAATGGGGATAAGTCAGAGTGTCGTTATTGCAAGAAAAAATTAGGAGCAAATAGTAAGAATGGGACATGAAACTTGCATGATCATTTCAAGAGTTGTCCAAGGCGAACTTGTAGAGATATACGTCAACAAGTGATTGGGATGGGGTAAAAAACAACGGATTGAAAAACAAATCTATCATGCTTAAATTTTAACCCCGAAAAATCAAGAAAAGATCTTGCAGAGATGGTAATAGTGCATGAATATCCACTTGTAATGGTGGAACATCATGGGTTTCGAAAGTTTATGGTTGGTCTTTAACCTTTATTTAAGGTTCCATCTAGGAATACCTTAAAAATGATATTCTCAAGATTTATGACTTTGAGAAAGAAAAAACAATGCAGTATGTTTATTTGTTTAATCGATTTCTAATTTGTATCTTGTATTTATTTGGTTTCTAATTTATATGTTGTATTTATTTCAGTCTATTGAAGAAGAATCTAAGCAAGATTGCCATTACGACAGATATGTGGACATCAAGTAATAAAAAAAAAGGTTTCATGTCAATCACATCGCATTTGATCGATGATAACTGGGAGATGCAAAGCCAAATAATGAGGTATTTTAAACTTACCTTTGCTAGCTAGGTACTAAATATAAGAACTAAATTGTTTCTAATTACTTATTTACTAGGCTTATATACGTGCCTTTTCCTCATACTGCTGAAGTTCTTGCTGATATGTTGTATGATTCTCTATGTGATTGGAACATTGATAGAAAAATATCAACAGT